TGAAGGTTTTTTTTTTTTTTTTTTTTTTTTTTATCTGTAATTTATGTTACTGTTTGTAATTGAACTATAATATTAAAAAATTAAAAATAAAATAAAGGATTAGAAACGCAATGTAACTAAGAGAAAAGATAAAAATTACTATTGAGAAATATTGTTAATGGGCTCTATATAAATACAAATTACAGTTAAAAAAATTAGGTAATTTATCTAAAGCTATCAAATCTATTAAAATCGAGAGATTTTTTTAAATTAAAATATTACTAAAAAGTTAAACTTTCTTTGCTATAATATATTTTGAAGCGGTACACTTATCTTTTTTTTTTTTCTTTGCTGAAATTATGAGCGGTACTTTGTGAAATATTTGTTCGTGTCCAATGTTTTTTCTCTTGTTTAGAATTTTTTGGCCTCTTAGCTATCACATATCATCATCATGTAAGAGGCAGGGAATCTAAACATTGCAATTTTTACTTGATCTTAAAATATTGACAAAATCCTATTCCAAAGGTTATATAAAACAAAAAAACAAAATAAAGGAATAAACGTGTTGCTAGCCTGCTAATAGTTGTCCTAGCTCAACGGGCATGAGTGAAAGTTTTTCAATAAGACAACAATGTCCCCACAATTTACAGAGCTGCTCAAGAATTAACATTTATAACTACAAACAAAATGCCCAACTTAGTGCCGAACTTGGTGCCAAATGGACCGTTTAACCATTCAAATGATAAGAAGTTAAAGCTATCGTATACATAAAAGTAATAAAATGTCATTTTCATTTGAGGGCTGAGCTTATACAACCTCTATCTCCAACATTATTTATTTGTTTAGTCTCCAAGCGACCCTTATCAAAAGGGAAGGGACTTAGGGACACAATCTAGGGGGTGATGAATCCATATGCTAGTTATCACTTTTCAATAGGCCTTGAATCCCTGCTCAATACAATGAATAATGCACCTAAACTTAGGAGTATTTTACAGTTGCCATAGCAAAGAGTAAAACTGTATTACAATTGGATCATAGAAAGTCAATTTCGTTTTAATATCTACTCTACTTATCCCTTTTTATTTTTTATTTTTTTTACTCAAGGTAATCATCAAATAATAACAATATTATAAAACACAATCAATTCTTAACAATTAGCACCATCCACTAATAAAAGATGAATCTCATTAAAAAAAAAAGTATCAAATTTCTCTGATAGGTCTTAAAAAATGAACTATCGAATATTATATTTTCAATCACTAAATGTGTCCATATATTTTCAATCATCAAATCAAATTTGTATGAGAAAAGTATTCCTATTAGTAGGGAGGTTATACTAAAGAAACTAACAAAAAAATATGGTTGTATAAAACCATTACCGCACGGTAGGGTAGTTTGGTAATTCTAGCTATGAATTTCCTTGTTTTCCGAAAAGGGAATTAAAACTGAAACACATAACATGGCCAATAGGCAACATCTCTATTCCTTGGTTTGAGGCAGAAAAAGAGGAGTGTGCTCATCCACCTGAAATCCACGTGTCAGCGCCGCGTTACGTGACATTTGCCCAACTGCGGAAAAGTTGCTTGCTCATATACAGCTGTGAGCAACGCGTAATTATATTACAATATTATGTGCTTTTCTTAATCTAGTATTTACAGTCTCATTAGTCATTATGTTCTTAATCTTTTGTTCGTATTTTTCTGTCAACCTATTTTTCTGTTTTTTTTCGTACAGACCTCACACTGATAATGCACATTTCTAAAAATTAAATATAATTAAAATTATATTAAAATAAAAAATATGTAAAATAAACGGACTATAATATAAATCTGACGATAAAAAACTAGAAACTTAACAGTAAGTTTAAAATTATTTTGAGTTCTACTGTAGAATTTTTTTTCTGTATTTTTTTTGGTGTGTGTTGTTCTCTTCTTAAAGTTAACTTTTTGTTTATGTTACTTTTGTTTTCTATTTTTTTCAAAAAGCTGAAGCTTGTGTTCCTATCAAGGTTTATATTATGACAGGTAAAAAAGAAAGTTGGAGAACTTTGTAGGATTTATGGCATGATTTAAGCCCGTGCTGTTCGTTGGGTTTGAGACAAAATAATGTCTATCACGAGAATCACAAAAAGGGCTAACCATATGTATTGCAATATTGCAAGAGTTTAGGGGGGCAAAAAAAAAAAAAAAACATTAAAATAGGGAGCATGATCGCTATTCAGACCAGAAAGGTCTTCTGAATTTCTGTTAAAATAAAAACAAAAAAGGTCTTCTGGAAGCATACCAGAATTTGTAGCAATATAAGAGGTATACTAAACTACGGCTTAGAATGATATCATAGAAATTGATGCAGAGAAATTTATTGTTTCTCCAACGAAGCACTTACTAATATAATGAATCTAAGAAATCATGGTGCATGCCATTCCATACCTACGAATGTTCTCGGCCATGTGCTTGGAGTTTTGTGAGGATTGCCTAAACATGAATCTTATATATATATATATAAGAAAGGTTAGGGTTACTTATTTTGTCATTTTTTTTTGTTATTTTCTACGTTTACAGTTTGATACAAATAATTCACTATCTCATTTTCTGTTAAAATAATAATATATCATATTAGTAGAGTTCTCATATTAAATAGTAAATTTATAGAGTGACAAAGAGAATGATAAAAAGAGTGATGATAATATCATATATATATATATATATTCGTGGGAGTATGTGGATGCATCATAATTAATATATTGTTGGCATATAATAGGCCGATGTTAGTTTCAGATCAATTTAGGACCGCAACAACCTAATTACATGAGCCTATAATTTGTCAAGCTTCTCAAGTATATTCTGCAATTAAAAAAATATATTTGAATCATTTCCTTGTCACCTCTCCTAATATATGACATTCCATTTTTATTATTATTATTAGAACCACGACATGTTATCGACATAGGTCAGGAGCCCGATTTCCAGCGCTAGGAGGGATTACTTATTTCTTTTTATTTTTCGGATTTGAAGAACTTAAAGAAAAAAAAAATTATCACAAGTATTGGATCAACAATATTATCATATTTATTAGATATAACAAGGAATCCATAGAACAAAGGCCTTGCCGTTAAAACAATCGGCTTCGAAAAGATAAGGTTATTATAATCAAGAAATGTAAAATTCTGAGACATCGAAAATGGACACTATTAAGTCAAAATATTCGGTATCAAAAACCTTTCTTTTTTTTCAAAAAAAGAAAAAAAATGAAAAATGAAGTCATAGAGTATAATATAAAATATATGTCCAATAGAAATATGACATGAATAATAAGGCACATTCGAACATGCAATTCCAATCATTGAAGAAATGTTGAAATGGGTCTGACTGGTCGTTTAGTACCTGTGTAATGTTATTGAATTGTTTGCTTTACAATCATTTCTTTATCTCCCTCCGTAAAAAAAAAAAAAAAGAAAAGAAAATATGTAATTCCTCTGATACTCGTTAAATTACAAAATCATTTTGTTGGATAGTTGGCTCAGTGTGGTTTTAATTGAAGTATCAAATATTTTTCATTTTTAGGATAAATTTAAGTACCAAATTTGTAACGTATTATCTTCAACCAAATCCAAAAAATTGGTGAATCAAGTATATATCAAAAAAGAAATCGACAATTGGAAAGGAGATCAGGGCCAGGGGGTTTAGGTATTTGGGGAAGAAATTCTTCCCACACGGAAATTGAAGGGAAAACGACAATGAAAAAGAAAGATAACGCTTGAGACGCATTTTGAAGCAGCTGGATAAAAAGAGTAGAATGAGTAGGTTATAGTACGTTTTGCTGTTTGGTTCACCGTTCGAATTGTAGAGATTTGAATTTGAATTGTGATGACGTTTGGTCCATGAGTTAGAATCATGTGATTAGAATCATTTTTTATTTACGTGTATTTTTTGTGAGAAAAAATACTATAGTGAACTACGAACCATGATTCGAATCAGGGAACAACGAATCTATGTACCAAATATCCCTAAGCGATTCGAGTCAGTATTTAAATATATAAATAAATTGTAATTTGAATTGAAAATAAAATTCAAATTATATTTGAGTAGAATAAAATTTGAATTATATTTGAGTAGAACGTTAAAAATTGTGATTAAAATTTTACAACAAATGTTCTATAAAACCTCACAGTAAACGATATGTCCTAGTACTAGTAATATCTTGGAAATGAAGGGGCTGTTTGGCAGCCCCATTTTTGAGTTAAAAATTAAAAAAAAAAATAACTCGAGTTACGACTTTATTTAAGTTCATGTTCTTTTAAGTTTGAACTCGAGTTTGGGACTAAAACTCGAGTTCAAGTTTCTCCTTCAACTCGAGTTTAGAAACTCGAACTCAAATTAATGAACAATATTTTTTATATTCTTAAAAATACTATAATTTTTTCATTTTAATTCTGATTGAGATGATTTTTTTTCTATGCCTTGACAACAAAAAGATGAATAAAATACCACTCATA